CACCTACAGGGGAAAATAGACATAGTAATTTACATTACAACATGGTTTACATTCTAGACATTACAAGTACAAGGTATGACTAGAGAGTGGCACTGCTATAGACCCAATCCATAATGCCTTTATACAGTTAATGAATCACCTTCTTACACCATCACTTAGCTCTGGTACAAAATTTTACTTCAGAATGATTGATTTTTCAGAATAAGCTAGGAAAAGGCACGTTGCATGAACGTTGGTCAGACTCATGTCAAGGTTACCAAACAGAAAAGACCATTTTGTTTCTTGACCATCAGTGATCAAAATAATAGCATCATGAAAGCCACCTACAAAATCATTCTGACCTTACATTCTGTCAGGAACTTATTAGTTACCATCATGACCTTTCACCACTGTATACGTTAGAAGTCAAATATTTTGTGCAGTGCTTTTTATCAAATGAAAGAATAACAAATCACTGAGTGTGGAAGGATAATTACTTACCATTGGGTTTTCCAGGCTCCTCCCATTCCAGGTTGACGACATTGTACTCCCCCTCAGTAACAGACCACTCAGGTGGAGACACCTGTTCTGGGGACGACTCTCGTGTTCGTGCAAGGGACGCCTCACTGGTTCCCTCCCCACCAGCATTCACCACCACCACCTGATACTCATACTGGGTGTACGGCTCCAAACTGGTGTCTGAGGAGCAATCAGATTGATGGATCAGGTATCATCATCATGCCATAAAACCTTTGTTGGCAGGTCTATCACCTAAATGAATGCAACTTGGCTTAGTTTTGTTTTGGGTACCACTAGTGAACGGGTTGATTTCATTGATTTCTAGGACCAGTTTTGAGTCGAAAAGTTGTAAAGTACTCTGACTTTTTGGTGGCAAACACAAACACAAATACTGTTGGTTAAATGTTGGAATACACCTGGAGTTGGTGTGTTACGCCAAAGCGCGATTATACCGACCATACCGATACAGATACAGAATTGCTTTCAGGACAATACAGATATACAGATAATAAATCAGTTCTGACCTGTGAAGCTGAAGACATTTGTCCCACCAGTGTAGATGTCTGATGTTTCCTGTGTACAGATGCCAGGGTTGGTAGTGGGCTGGGGGGTGGAGGAGACAGTCCCCTCATATGCCCCTTCCACTATTGTACATATACTGGAGCTTGTGCTAAAGTCACACCTGCAGATTATAACATACGCCAAGAGAATGGTTAGTAGCAGGTTCAATCTCAAGTGACATGTCATCTACTGTAAGTCTCTTTAGATTCGCGGGGCCTAAAGTTCGCGGTTTCGGGAAAATGGGCAATCCGCGGTATTTTTAGATTCGCGATTTCTCCTTGGCTATTTTTCAAAGAAAAATGTGTAAAGTGTATATTTAAAATAATAAAAGTTCGTGTTCCGGCATTTATCTCCTAAAACGCGGCGCAAAAATTTGTTTCGTGCACCGCGCGAGACTGCCGGCTGTAAAGCTGACGATCGATCTGACGCACGTGTAAACAATTTTCTTTGTTCGGAAATAAGCGCTAAAATGCTATTTTCCACGACTACACATCGATACTCTAGTGAAGAAATACATAATCGAAAGAATATATATATCACTAAGCAAATTTATGCCGTCTTCGGCGAGATTTTGAACCCGGAAGTATGCAAAGGTCGCCTTCGGTTTTGTAGGCCCACGGTGAGCGTTTCTATCCAGCAAAACAAGAAGAAGAAAAAACGCCCGCAAAGCAGGGCGCAAAAGATAACCAACTAACATTTCCCAGGTACCAGCCGTTATATTTTTCATAAAAATACTTGTAGATATGCCCGATGTTCCCGCAATTTTCAAGCGCCCGGGCGCGCATGGCCGGCGCTCTGCAGGCATAGATTTTTTCGGCGGTACACGGTTGACACGGCCAGTGCCGCAGTATCGCGATTCGGTGTCTCATAATATTATAATTTTTTGACATCAGTATAACTTTAAAAAATTTTGGTACTCAACATTTGCTAAGAATAAAGTTGGTTTGCAGTGATTTGTGAATCGCGTGTGTTTGTGTTTCGCTTACCGTCGTGAATGCATGTGGGGAGGGGGCGCACTTACGCAAAACATATTCGCGGGGAAATAGATTCGCGGTACAAAGGTCCCCGCGAATGCCGCGAATCTAAATATAACGCGGAAATTTGTAGACTTACAGTATTTGGGAGTCCCAATCCTAAAAGCCTACAATCCAAAAGTAAAAATGTGAATCAGATGTTGTCTGGGACAATCTTAAGGGGTTTGTATACTTCATCCCAGTATTAAACCTGCAACAATTTCATACCACATCCATGTTTCTCTTGTGCATTAGACATTCCCTGAATACCACTGTCTATTAGTAAGTAATCCCACATCCCCTTAGTAACTCTGACCTGTTACAGTATGCTCCTGCAGTCTGGCTGATGGGGCATGTCACTCCGTCTCCACAGTCACTGAAGGATGAGGTGATGCGATACGGTCGGTCGGCACACACGTGGGTGGCACTGTTGAACCCAACATTGTTACAACAGGAGAGGTCAGGGCGG